GCCGGCGCAGTTGAACAATTCAGCGATATGGTGGGAAGGACCGCGTTGGTTGAAAGTGAAAAATGACTTTGCGAAAACTGATGGCCTTGATGTGGAGCTGGATTCGGTACCTGAAGAGCGCAAGAAAGCGCTAATAGCAATAAGTCTAGTCGATAACTCAGCGATAGATTTTATTAGATTTTCCTCGTACTTTAAATTGTTACGCGTGATAGCTTATATGTTAAGATTTGTAGGTAAATTTAAGAAGCTAAATATTTCTTATAGTGAAAGATATGTAACCGCGGAGGAGATGAGAGTGGCGCGGAATGTGATAGTGAAGGTTGTGCAATTGCTAGCGTGGAAGGACGAAGTGAAGAAACTAAGCAATGGTCAGGAGATTCCGAGGAGCTCCAAGCTAATCACCTTGAGACCCTATCTGGACGAAGAAGGAATGATGAGGGTGGGCGGAAGACTGCACCAATCATCATTAGCCGAGGACGCCAAGCATCCTTTGGTGATTCCTGCAGATCATCATTTCACCAAGCTGGTCATAACGGAAAGACATTGTGAGATGGCCCACGCCGGGCCTGCTACCACCTTAGCAGCAGTAAGGTGCGAATTCTGGCCGATAGCTGGAAGAAGCATAGTCAAGAAACTCGTGAGGAACTGCGTCGTGTGCCGCAAGGCCAATCCGGTCCCGTGTCAGCAATTAATGGGACGGCTTCCGGAGGCGCGGGTACAAGAATCGAGACCCTTTTCAAGGGTGGGAGTCGACTACTGTGGTCCGTTCATGGTGAGAGATCGCGTTCGACGGAACAGCAGACAATACAAGGCTTACGTGGCCGTGTATGCGTGCATGGCCACCAAGGCGGTTCACATAGAGCTAGTGGACGATATGACAACGGACGCATTCCTGGGTTCATTGAAGAGATTCACGGCGAGGAGAGGATTGCCTTCGGACGTCTACTCGGATAATGGAAAAAACTTCGTAGGCGCTGAGCGGGAGATCCAGCGAGTGCTCAGGGATTCCCAGTGTTTGGAGAAACTCCACGGGCATTGCGCCAAGAACGGGATAAAATGGCACTTCATTCCTGCTAGGGCTCCGCACTTTGGAGGCCTGTGGGAGGCTGCGGTCAAGACATTGAAACGACACTTGAAGCGGACTATCGGAAGCGCTTCGCTCACGGTAACGGAAATGATAACGGTTCTGAGTCAAGTTGAGGCTATGATGAATTCAAGGCCTATAACACCATTATCGGATGACCCTCGAGATCTGGACGCCTTAACACCAGCGCACTTCCTGATAGGCAGCGCAATGGCATCGCTACCGGAACCTGACCTGCAGGAGACACCGATTTCCAAGTTGTCTAGGTGGCAGCATGTGGAACTCCTCCGTCAGAGATTTTGGTCACGTTGGCAGACGGAATACTTAGCCACGTGTCAACAACGCTTTAAATGGAAGACTCTGAAGCCGGACGAGTTGCTGAAGGGGCGACTGGTAATGTTAAAAGAAGATGAGACCATGCCTTTCAAATGGACAATGGCGAGAATACTAGAGGTGCATCCAGGGGCGGACGGGTTGGTGCGCGCGGTAACTTTGCGGACGGCAAAGGGGAGCTACAAGCGACCCGCAGTAAAGATAGCGCCGATTCCATGCGATTAAAGATTGTCGGGATTATAACTTTGCACCGATGTTAAATATTGCGTTTATTAAGTAAAATTAGTTGTAAGATGCGTTTGTCAATGGTTTTGGTTGTTTTTTTGTATTGTTTAATTTTCTTTTAAGAATTGGTGAATGCGAGCGCTGACTATGTTAAGCGAAATCCTACAAGTTACCAAAGCAGATTGTTTTTTTTATATATTGAAAACGTGTAACGTTTGTCAAGGCGGGCGGCATGTTAGGCCCGAATTATATTAGTAAGAGCGGCGGTAGGCGAGGCCGCCATGAAAAGAGCATTTGAGGTAGGCCGGCAGGGGGCGTAGCGAGCGGAAGAGTGAAATCGAGCTAGCGAAGTGTCTTCTAGTGTGTGTGTGGGAAAAAGGAGAGAGAGTTGTACGGCGCTTGCCTCCCGTGCGGTACGTGTAAGAGAGCGGTTCCCGTAATAAAAGATTTCCATCAGAGAAACGGTGTGGTTCTTCCCGCGATATTCCTGGCTCGTTCCCTCGCTACTGGACGGGAACGAGATAACCGGCGTCGACGTAAAAACGGCGCAAACATATAT